AAAAAGCAAAAGTAGCCACCGCCCATATGTCTCATAACAAAACTTCTTCTCTGTGGAGGGCAGTTCCACCAACCCACCGAAGCCACATGCTACAAATGATAACTGAGATGCCAACAAACTATGAAAGTGTTGGCCAAATGAGAACCAAAAAAAACCCTCAGATGTGAAACTTCAAAACTGCAGATAAGGTAGGTTCTTTCTTAATAGAGAGCTTTTACCAGCCAGGGATGGGAAGTCCTACAGACCAGAAGGCTGCCATACACTAGGGGTGGGTAGTTTAGCTACAATTCTGTTTTGCTAAGAGTGCTCTGAGAGGATACTAACTCCTACATCTGATGTTGCTGACAGCAGGCTGGCTTGGGAGTGCTGGCATGGTGGTAGTAGTTCTGGTAACACACAGGTTTCCCCAAAAGGTTTTTCATATTTCTGGCACAACTCTGGAGATGTTTTATTATGGGTAGTTATGGTTTCATGCCACTAACTTAACAGCTGACAAAATTTAGACTGAAAAGTCACTGATTTTGCTTTTAATCCGGCAGAAAAGATACTTCTAAAAATGTAGAGGAAGCTATTCTGGACTGCACCTACACTTTCCTTTAAGAGCAGCTGAATAGATCAATAGTTTTTTTTAAATGAGTCAAGGCCAATTTTTAGCTAGGAGAAAATCGACTGGAATCATGAATCAAGCTTTTTTAGGGTGTGTACATTTTAAGCTTCCTTAGCCTATTTTAAACATTTTAACAAATTCTGGTTCTTTGTAGTTGCATTAACTTAATAGCTAATAGCGAAACAAAATAAGAAATTCTGGGGAAAAAAAGCTAATACTTAAGATAAAGAGTGGGAGAGATTTAAGATAAATGAACAATGTGCTAAACCTGGTCTTTCCACATCTTCACCAGCAATGAGATTAGATCTGTCAAACTAGCATAACTAGCTGCCTTGTAAAGGCAAACAACAGAAATGGTTATCCCGTATATTTGAAACAAAGGAAGATTTAATTCTCATTTTAGCAAAATGAATAGATGAATAACAGGGTGATCTTAGCTATCAAATGATTAAAGGGAAAAAAATATTCATCTTTATTTTGAGAGGAAAATCAGAGGAGACTTACATAAAGTGATCTTAATTCTGAAAGAAAGAGAGTTAATGTCAGGCATGTCATCATGGAGATAAACTGAAATTAAGCAAGTCTGGGAGGAAGAGGGATTCAGATGTTTATTTCATTTACATCACTTGGGGAATATATACACATACACTGTGAGAAGGAGTGAGGGAAAATCTTATCCCTACAGCTTTGTACTTGCTTTCTTCAACTGTTCTGACAGATTTGACTACATTTGACGGTGTTCATTATAGCAGGTTCCTATGTTTTTCTTGAAAATAGGTAGGCAAGTAGAAGGGAAAGGCTTGAGACAGCACCAGTGAAAAACAATGAACACAATGACCCTTTTTTAGAGGAAGAAAGAGAAAGGTGAGAAGAGTAAGAGCAAATGATCCATTTCTTCCTTTTATATATATATATATAGTAGAGAGAAAAAACTGTTTGTATGTACCCTGATATAGAATATCCATCAGCCATATATATATTTGTATGTACATTAATTTTCTTCATTTGCATAAATGCTCCAATTTGGGGGGAAGATTTGGAGATTGGAGCCTCATTTACATGCAGAGTTCCTCAGCATTTAGCAGTTCCTAGTTAAGTTTTGTGTATATCACATCAATAAATGACTGAATGAACTTCAGTGTAGAAAAAAGCAGTTACAGGCTGCAGAAAGATTAATTATAAGAAAAGATTGAACGACCTGGGGTGATTAATACAGACAAGCAAAGATCCAGGAGAGACACTTTAACATGATGGAGTGTTGCAAGAGGAAGGTAGAAATATTTTCACATCTCCAGAAAACAGAATGAGAAATTATGCAAGAGATACTCAAAGATCAGAAAGTGGAAAACATTTTTAATTATAAGGTACTAAAGCACTGACACTAGGTCCTTGGTACTGAAGCCTATAAACGTGGCCACACAAACACAGCTTCTTGCAAGACTAAAAGACATTAGATATTTTTTGTTGTTCCTTTTTCCTCTGGGCTTTATGGGGAAAAAAATCTCCCAGGAGATATAATATTTCTAGCAGGTTGATTCTCCAGGCAGAACTGTGCTGGGAAAGGAGGAGTTGAGGTTTACTCTATGCGATTTTGTGTCCATTTCTGGTCCAATAATTAAATAAACAAAAGTATGAAAGCATGCCAGGAAAAGCAAATCACTGATTTCCGTGTATTTGAAAAGGGAGCATTTGCAGTCCTGATGTGCTCAGTGGAAGAGTAAAGTTATGACTGAAATGCACCTGGTAATTTTTCTTTATGGTGCAAGTAATTTGGTGCAAAGAATTTGGGGCATATACTTCTACCCTGACCTATGTCAAAGGCAGTGGAATAGGAACACATACAGATACATATGTTGGAGACAGAGCCTAGAGACATCCTGATCTAGGATCTGTCTGCACATAACAGTTTTATATTTGCATCTGGGGAAGTTTGAATAAGTATGGCAGAGAGTTTAAGTGCAAGACATCCTGGTCACTACATACACATATATAACAGCATTGGTTACAAACCAAGGAACACTTCCTTGAACATACACTTGCATGGAGAGCTGAGAAAAGGCTCATCAGAAAAGTTAGATGTGTTGCGTTTTAATTTTCATCCTACAGAAAACATGAAAATTACTTTCTAATCCTTTGTGCATCTCTTCTGCAGATGACACCCTTCTACCTTTGTAGTGGAGTAGTGAAGTAATTGTCAAGTGTAGTCAGGTGAGCTGTACAGCAAAAAACATAGGTTTGGTGTTCGATAAAGTAGGTGTTAGGTGATAGCCTCAAATATCCATATGATCAGGAAGTTCAAGGCAATGACAATATGTACTAAAAAAAACAAACAGGGAGTAGGAAAAAGGGGAAGAAGTCTAAAGGTTAAAAGATGACAAACACGTCCTTATGAACAGCAGCTTCCAAATCACCTGTGTGACTATGCAATGGAGAATGTATGTTAAAAATTGTGAAATAAGTTAATGGCCAGCAGTAGGCTTAATTATGTTATTTATTTCAAATCTAGTTCATCAACATTTTCATACCTATAGAATATGCACTGAAAACTAGGGGGGGAAGCCAGTTATGAAGCATGTACAGCCCGAATAGTATTCTCTGAACTTGACTTCTGTTGTCTTTTTAGTTCATCCCAGACAGTCGTGGGAACCCTCATATCTGACTGACGTACTTCCTAAACCTCACTGCACACATCCCCTTGATAATGATTTTTTCCCTGCACACAATTAATATCTAAATATATGATATGTTTGCAGTATCACTGTGGATACGTGCACTCAGATTCCAAATTGTTGAATTACCCATTGCCACTGCCAGGAAGAATGCTCTTTTCTCTCTCTGTTGGTTAAAACACACTTCGCTCCATATTAGATTCAGGCTTGCCCAGGCAATCGATACATTTAGAGCTCCAGGATTAATCCATGTAATTCACATTTAAGCCAGGAAGTTGCCAAACTGGCACAGTGAAGACCTTCCACACAGCACTCACATTATTCTTTGCATCCAGTTGCATCCTCTTGTTTGAGGTAAACCTCTACGCTTTTAGAAAATTATTCTGAGTATCCCGAGGCTGTGAAAATGCATGAAGAAAGGCATGTGGCTGAATGCAAATAAACCCCCAAATCCTCAAATGGCATTTTACTCTCCAGACTTCGTATTCTCCAGGTTGCTATTTTTAAAATGTCACTAGACACTTTTGATCTCCTAACTTTTATAAGTGTGATGGTAGTGTCATAACTTTGATGGCAGTGTCTAGGAGTGCTGGCTTTGTTTCTTGTTAGAAGAATAATATGTTAGTTCTGTCATTTGTGTATGGAGAAAGGAAATAAGGTAGTGAGGACACTGCAGAAAAAAGTTTCATTGTGATTTGTTATAGGAAAAGAGTAGGAGTAACAAAAGGAGAGAAAAGCAGAAACAACAGAAAGATTGAAAGAATGCATGTGTGTGTGTGTGTGTATAATACAGATGAGTGTACTGTAGAAGGAATACAAGCACAGCCAAACTTTGTGTCTTTCATTGTGACAGAAAAGTGAGAATGCAACAGTGGAGACAGAGCAACCTTTCCAGGGTGTGAATGAGCACTGGTCTAACTTCAAATATCCCAGCCATAAGTTGGCTATGTGTTCTAGTCTGGGTCCATTGCACCTTGTGTACTCATGAACCCACAATTACAGTCGCTAGGTAGAGTTAAGAATTTTCACCATTTCATGCTATAATGTAGCTCTTTTAAAAGGCCAGCTCAAACTCCTGTCAGTTCACCCTAACATTTTTCCATGCTAGATGTTTATGGAAGTTTTGCTTTCTAATAATTTGCAGTTTATAAATCATTCTGTGATACTGAGGAAAACAAAAGAGGGGGGTGTGTTTCAGCAAAAGGAAACAAAATTATGTCTCTGTTTACAAATTCTCTAGCTGAGATGCTCTTGCATCTGTATACTTTGAAAAGGTCTATTAATTATTAAAGAAATAAAAAGAAAAAAAAAACTCTTTGAAGGCCTTTTAAATGCTGATACCACCTCTGACTTTGGAAGTCCCTGAGTCAAAATCCTAGGGAGAATGTAGCTGAGAGATACCTTGTGTCCTGTTATTATACCTTCCCTCATCACCTGCAGTTGGCCGCTTTCAGAGAGGGATTTGTGCTTTGACTGGCACAGATGCACTAATCTAGCCAAGAAGAATTATTATGTTCAAATCACGGCTGTGACTTTTTGCTATGTTTGTGGGAGGCCAGTCACATCTGGACAAGTTACATACCTTCAGTCACATCTGGACAAGTTACAGACCAGAAGTATTTTGAAGGCTGGTGATTAAAATTCTCTTAAAAGTTCATTAGCACTGAACATGATCCATCCCTAAAGTTTGTACATTTTGACTAGACCAAACCTGCTTTGCTCTGTTCAGGTATGAAAGAGGATTTCCTCTTCAGTTCCTCCTTGCTGTACCTCAGTTGTACCTCAGTTGTACCTCCTCGCTGTACCTGGAATGTACAGAGGCAATTGCATATCATGGGCTAACGTGACAGCTCAAAGGTAGGCTTGCTTGGGAGTGTAGGTGAGGTCATGCAAGGTAGCTAAAGGAAGAAGCTATGTACACTCTGTACCTTCATTTACCAGGAAACATGCAGGAATGTGAGCAGATAGCACAGCTGTTTCACCTTAGGTTTTTCTGCAGTAACCAATTTCTCTGCCCATGCAGAGTCAGGAAAAGACATAGACAACAGTCGTAAAAATTTATGGGGCAAGTTCATACCATTTTATTCAGTGATGCATTTAACTGATGAGTGGCATGAGGCCACATACTGAATGCTGAGAATGAATAAAAGTTTAAGTGGCAACTCATCCAGTGACCATCAGATTGTTTTCCAATCCTTGATATTTGGTATAATTTCAACATACTGCATGAAGCAAAGACCTTAGTCCAGATATGTAGTGATGTAATAATATTATGACACATATGAAAAAGAAGGTTGAATTACAATAACATGACCAATATTTATTTTTTGTTGCTATATTGTGCAATTTTTATGTTTTCCAGCACATTTTATTATAGAAACTAACTGCCAAAGCCCTAATTCAACATATTCAGAGAAGAGATTAATTAACTTTCTAAGTATGAGTAATGTGACTATGTATCTGTTTTGCCTGTGCTACCTAACATCCCTTCATGAACAACAAAAAATCTGTGAATCACCTCAGTGGGAAATGGTAATTTTAAAAAAGAAATAATTTCGTAAATTGCAAAACCTGTCTTTTTTTAATTAAAAAAAAAAAATCAAACTTGAAGCCCCAATTGTTTTCTTGCAATGAGTTTTGAGGAAGTGATTTAATCTTGCTGTGATGTAGTTATTCTGGCAGATATTTTCCAGCTTTGTTGTTTAAATCTCCTTACAATGACAGCTATTATAGGAAAAATTAATGTGCGTAAATGATATAGCTAAAAATTGCTTTTACTTTGAATATGAACAGGGACCAAAAGGCTTTGTACAGAGAGTCAAACTACCGGCATAAAAACACGGATCTCAAAGAAGCACCAAGGAAAGCGATATCACTACTCTAGGCTTCTCTGTGTTATTTAACAGTGTCGCTGTCATCTTTACGTCTTCTCGAAGATCAGGCAATTGCAAAGGAGAGAACCGAGACATGGCGGGCGCGTCAAGCCCCGCCCCTCCCACCGGGGCGGGGGGCGGGGCCGTCCGGCCCCGCCCCCCGCCCGGTGGGAGGGGCGGGGCTTGGGGCTGTCAGCGCGGAGTGCGCCTGCGCGCTCCGCCCCCCTCCCGGAAAGGCGGCCACGTCTGCCGGAAAAGATGGATCCGAAGGATCCGATCCGCCGGGCTCGGCCCGCGGCCCCGCCGTGACTGACGCTGCCCCGCCGCCCCTCACGGCTCCGCTCGGGCCCCCGCGCTGGGAGGAGGTGAGGCAGGGCTGTGCCGAGGCCGCTCTTGAGGGGGGGAGGCCCGGGGACAAGCGCGGCTGAAGGAGAGGGGCGTGGGAGGGGAAGCGGCCCCTCCTGAATTCAGTCCTGGGGTGAAGGGGCCCTTCCAGGGGACTGGGATATGGTGGTGTCGCCGGCCCGCGCAGCTGCCCGCCGCGGCGGGGTCACGGGAGGGGCTGCGCAGTTTGTGGTGGAGGAGCCCCTCTGTCTTAGCCAGGTTGGGAGTCTGCCGGCCAAACATGTAAGGCTTAGTTGTTTTCTGTTAGTGTGATAATATTCCATAGCGGGTGCTGATGCTCAAAACAGGTGCAGTGGTCTGATTTTTTGTTTTTAAAGCTTTGGTTTAAAAGCCTTGCTTTTGTCTGTTTTTTCTCAGACATCAGTTACCATATTTCCATCAGTTACCATAATAGCAAGATAACTAAACGAGTAGGAGTAAGGCTTTAAAATAACTACAGCACTAATAGATTAACACAACAGTTGTTTAGGTAACCCACACATCTTGTCTTAGCAACACTAGTCTGATTTGTAATCATTCTATGTCTTTTGCAGCATATGGTCCCAAAGTTTTAATTGTACAGACTTTATCAACAGACACCCATCATGTCCTGGCTTGTTGATCTCGCTGGAAAGGCGGAGGATCTACTCAACAGAGTTGATCAAGGAGCTGCATCAGCTCTGAGCAAAAAAGACACATCAAGCAGTGCAGTTTATGATAATAAGAATTTGAACTCTGCCAATGAATATTCTGAAGTGCACCAGCATACTGGAGAACTGAAATATCAGACATCATCCAAAGCAGCCTACATCTCATCAGCAGCTGATAACATTAAACATCAGAAGGCCACAATCCTGGCAGGAACAGCAAATGTTAAACCAGCACGTAGGACGTCCTCAGAGGCTGCTTCTCCAGTAGAAAGTGTTTCCACACCCAGAGCTGCCTCGCATTTTGTGAGAAGAAAAAAGTCAGAACCTGACGATGAGTTGCTATTTGATTTTCTCAACAGTTCAGAGAAAGAGCCTAATGGAAGGATGGACTCTAAAAAAGAGAAGAGCAAGGCACCTGTTCTTCAAAATCATTCTCGGACTTCAAGCATTAGTTCTGTATCTACCAGTACACAGAGTGCAAAAACTAATGAAGATAATTCCATCAGGAGCCAAGGCAATGGTAGTTAAATAGTCTTGAACCTAGAGATATTTAAAACCCAAGTATGTCTAGGGTAAGGCTAGGTAATGGATTTACTGTCACTTCATGAAACATTTAATGGTAGTGGTATGTCAAATGTGTGGGATACAGCAGGGCCTTTCACATTTTCTCATCACTAGGATAATGTTAGAAACCATGCTGATTTCACAAACTGCATAATTAATGCCTAAATCTTTTGTGTTTTGGATCTACCTCGTTGCTACTGCTCACATTGACCTCCCTGTGCTGTGACCTGACCTGGCATCAACTCCCACATGTCCCCACATAGAAGCACAGGTGCTGCTGCATTGGTTTGGTCACTCAGGGGTCCTGACCTGCTGTTGCTACATAGGAGAGTGAGTGACTTTGACCATGGCTAGATGGTGTTGGCTGCTGCCCAGTGCACCACGTGGGATGGTGTGAGGGTGAGCTGACAAACTTCCTGGTCCTGCGGAGTGGAAAGTTGGATGTGCGTAGGCTGTTGTAGAGCTGCAGGCATGAGAGAGCTAAATAGGTAAAGCCTTTGGATTGCCAGAAGTAGTTCATTACTGCAGTCTAAATCCAGAGGCCTGAAAGAGCCTCCAGGCCAGGTGGTCAAAAGATGGGGCTATTCCCAAATCAACAACACAAAGGAGAGTGTGGCTGGGAAGTGTCAGGAACTTGCATTCTCTATCAGACTGTCCATTCTATACTTAGTCCTGCTGCTGTGCTGCTTTGTTGTTGTTTATCCTAGAAAATTGAAGGAAGTGGTTATTTCTTAATAATGTAGTTAGAATACTTCATTATTTATTCAGTAATTTGAGCGTGTAAACCATTGTAAATGTCAGTTTTTTACTTACTACATTAAGTATGCTGAAAAGTTTTAGACGTAAAAAGGGATCACTTCCAAAGATGTGAATATTTTTGTATTTCTGGGTCTGTAACTTTTCAGTAGGGTTTACTGCTAATAATAAATAATTCAAATATGTTAGACCTGGCTGTATGGCCTTGCTGATTGGTGCTTAAGAAATATATTTATTTTGTTCAGTATGGCCTGTTGACTTCTCTTCTGAGGATTTTTGAGCAGAGTTTGCATTGTGGAGCTGCTAAATAAGAAAGTCACAGTTACAACATAGGGTTTGAGCATGCTGGTTTCAAAGTTCATTGTACAGATATCTGTGCCATTTAATTACTGAGTATAGAATGTGTTAATAGACAAAACCAACTAACATTATACTTTGTATATTGCCACAGTTATAATCTAATCTGTGCTATAAATGGCTAATTTGTTTCTTCATTAATCTATTGAGTTTTCCAGACAAAGAAATGAGGATAAATTGTCTCATAATTTGGAAACTGTGTAAATAAATCAAAGAGAAGATAATGACACTTCTTAGAATTGTTCAAGTAGGAAAGGGGGTTGAGAAAATGTGGAAAAAATCTTCCTGTCACTGCTGCTACTTGTGGGTGTGGTGGTATTCAGAATTCATGGCATGCCCCATTTCCCTGGGCTTGGGATTATAGGGGCTGTTGCAGTGGTAACAAGGAAGGTAAGGCAGCTTGGTTGGCAGTCACAAGGTGAAGTAAATAATGTTTTGGCAACTAAACTGCAGTCTTGATTGACATTAGTTCCAGTCTGTCCACCTGGATTTTCAGCAGTTACTCCCTTGAGAGTAACTAAATTCAGAAGTAATATTTTTGGATTGCCTGCTGTTTGTTCATTGTGTGCTGTGTCATTTTGTCTTAAAACTGATGCAAAGCTTCCAAATATCTGGATGCTGGAATCAAGGCTCTTGCAGTGGATGTTTAACTTTCACAGCATTAATCAAGGACACTCAGTGTGTTTGTGCATGACAGGGAAAAGGCTGTTGGTTCCTCCTTCCATGCAAGGGACTGTAATTCAGAATACTGCCAGGATTTCCCTTATTGTTCTCTTCTAAAATAAAATTTATATCCTCAGAATCTGAATGGAAAACCAGAATGGGCTTGTACTAAAAATTCCCCTAGTTAGTTGCTATGAGTATTTAATATTTTCTGTTACTCTTCAGATCCTGAGGACATTTCTGAGTAGCAAAGGTATAAAAACAGTGTTAATGTTTTGAAATCCTAAATTTGCCATTAATGTAATAAGAAGTTTTATAACTTCCATGTCTTGTCTTACAGGATTAACAAAAACACTGCATGGCACATATGTAATAGTCCTGCTTTGTGCAAGTCCCTTGTGAGAAGCAGCTCCACATTCCATTTCAATATAAACTATTTTGATTATTATTATTTAACCATTGATGCAGAACATAGAGTTACTGTTTATATAAAGGCCATTTACAAATACGTATATTAGTTCTAACTGGCATCTCTCCGTTCAGAAACTCCAGACAGTTCAGACTCTGGACTGGGAGCACAGGGGAACGGCGTGAAGGATTCTTCACCAAGTGCAGTAACTAATCCAGGCCTTTCCTCTAATGATGATTTGAAATCACACGAGCTCTCCAATCTGCGCCTGGAGAACCAGCTGCTGCGAAATGAAGTGCAATCTTTAAATCAGGAAATGGCTTCGTTAATACAGAGGTCCAAAGAAACACAAGAAGGTACTTCAACTGTAACATTAGTAAAACACCAGTGGACTAGAAAATAATGCTCTTTTTTTGTTATTTGTACTTATAATAAAATCTCACTAGTTACATTTGCATGTATGACCTACCAAGTAAAATGATTCTTGGTTTCAGAATAATGAAATGGTAGAAACTAAAACTTGTTTAACTACAAAGATAAAACAAATCTTGATTAAAATAATGTGTTCAAGTTAGTTATAAAGCTTATGTCATATTAAAGCAGTGGTAGCAAATACTATTAAAATACTTTTTCTGCATTTTGGTGGTTATTGCAAAATATTTTAAAATGAATAAATTCTTTTAAATGCTTCAAAATCTGACTACTTTCTGCTGTTATAGGCTATAATATCTGATGCCTAGAAACTGACAATAAAAATATAAATTTTAGTGTTTTTAATATGACCTCACAAGCTTTTTCAAAGCCAAATGAAATGACAGATATAAAAAATGTGACTACAAATCACACAAATGATAAAACGTACAGCAAACTCCTGCTGCTAGGCATAAAACTCAGAGACCACACTTTTTTTCACAGTAACTGTATAAGACAGATGATTTAAATTTTCATTGAAGTTTAATGTGTGATGTTTGATTAAAAACAGAAACCTTTGTAAGTATTCAGGCGTTATTTCAACACTGGTGTATTTTTCTACAGTTATTTATTTTGAGCTTACTGTCACATAGAGTTAAATGAGATGCTTTATGCAGAGGTTTTTGCTTGCACAGGGATATTTGACAGTAGGCCATTGCAAGGGATGGGGAAGGTGGGATGTGCATCTATTTATTTTGAGTTCACATCCCAAATTTTATGGGTCATGCTCAGACAGCCAGTCTGGCATTTGTTACTTCCTGGTAGCTCATAAATTTTGAGTTCTACTTCAACTTGGTTGTACTTAATTTTTTCTTTAAGA